AAATGAGTTTTGATAATTTCTATGTTAGCTTGACTAAATTGAGTCCATTGGTAATAGGTAGCTACTAGCTTTTCAGTAAAGTTTTAATTAGCCTTTTATTCAATCACCCTAACTAGTTTTTCAAATTAGTAGAGTTTGATGTTTTAGTTTACTATGTGAAAAATCAGATCTGAAATCAAATTTGTTTGCTAAATTTTGATTGAAATAAACGTTAATCTTGTATTTGAGCTTAAATTATTGATTTTAAGCATTGTTTCATCACTTTTGGATGGAAGAAATTAAGATGAAAATTTGGACTCTATTAAAGCTTATTTGAAGCTTCCTGATATAATAGTTTGTACTTTTTTTAACTCAAAAATCATTGTTTAAGAATTATTTTTGTCAAAAATGTCTAATATCCTCAATTAATTAGACACTTTACACACTATTCCCGAGTATAATATACATTACATAAAAGAATGTCAAAATACCAAAATGACATAGTAAAAGTCTACTACGAGTGTCTAAAAGGTACAAAGCTTACTTGGTAATTTCTTTACCGTATACTCATTACTTTTTTCTTTTTCTTTTTCTTTTTCGATTGGGGGAGGGGGTTGTGGTGTTTTAGAGAAGCTGGTTTTATTCTACTTTTTATCGTTGAGTTTTTGAGTTATTTCCTATGGTTTGGAACTTGTCCGCGCCTACGAGGATAAGATTCTTCACACATAAGCATGAAAAACAAGTTGAATGACTATATTCTATGTGAGAAATATATTTTTACTTAATAGCTAAGAATTCAATTTTTTGTCACTCACTATTATCCAAATAAAAATATTCCTTATTACCCATAAAGTAATCAATCCAATGGCCATGCTCCACTCTAAGGTTCTTTTTATTTAAAATAATTTTCCACCCTTTTAAAAGCAAGTACTAGTAGTTATAAAAAAAGGTGATCAAGAAGAAAAGCAAAATATGTATACTAAAGAAACCCTCCAAACCCAAGCACCTAGTAAACTAGAAAATTAAGTGAAGAAACTATGTATAGATTTAGCAACACAGTAATAGGTTTCTTGAATTTATTCACACTATTAGCATCAATTCCAATCATAGGTGCTGGATTATGGATGGCAAGGAGTAGTACAACATGTGAGAAATTCCTCCAAACACCACTCTTGTTCATAGGTTTCATAATCCTCATAGTTTCATTGGCTGGTTTCATTGGAGCTTGTTTCCATGTTGCATGGGCACTTTGGCTCTACTTATTTGTCATGTTGTTCCTCATAGGGGCATTGATGGGGCTAACTGTTTTTGGTTTTGTGGTAACAAGCCAAGGTGGTGGAATGGATGTGCCTGGTAAAGTATATAAAGAGTATTATCTTCAAAATTACTCACCATGGCTAAGGAAAAGGATTAAGGATCCTCAATATTGGGTCACTATTAGAGCTTGTATTTTGGGTTCCAAGACTTGTGCTAATGTTATTACTTGGACTCCATATGATTATCTTACCAAAGATTTGACTCCTATCCAGGTATGTACTAGTCTCTAGGAACGTGCCTTGAATGTTAACCTCTGACTATTTATTATAAACATCATATCTAAAGATAATAAACTTTTTGTTATGTCTTTGGTCATAAAATATTGTTTCACCTTATCGAGGACATATGACCATAGATTGGAGGGTGTGGGAGTCGTAGATAAGGGTAGATAATTAGTAGGTAGTAGAGAGTTATCTTGCTTCTGATTTTTATCGTCATTTGTTGTTTATGGTGTTTCGATTATTTTACTATTTTGTTGTTGTTACTGTTTTCTTATTAGTTGCTATTTGTTTCCCATTTCATACCTTCTTTGAACTATGTATATGTATATTGATGATTACATGATAAGTATTTACACTAGTATTGGTGAATATTAGCTAAATCCAGCTAATTTTATTACCAAGAACTTGGACAAGTGTTCTTTCTTTTTTCTCCATTTTTGGAAATTATAGGGTGGTTTTGTTTATTTTACCATATAAAAAATGACTGAAGTATATAAAATAACTAGTAGAGGATATATACATCCAAGAAACAAATGAAATTTTTTCTATATTTTGTTTTTATTTTTATTTTTTTGGTTGTTGTCTTCTCTTTTAATTTGTTGAGACTTGAGAAGAAAAATCTTTTGCCTCTTTCCTTGTTGCTAGTATGCTTTTCTCAATATTCTCTACTGGGTGGTGGGGCGGAGGCGATTATATTCCAATATTATACGATTTAAAGTAGATCAAGAATATTATCATCCATCATAGGCCATATCTAATCCAAAATTTTCACTAACAGATTTAAAAAATAGATCAAGAATATTAAATCATTAAGTCAACCTTTATCTTTGTGTTTAGAAAATTCAAAATCTACACATAAAAATTATAAAAAAAAACTTATATATACAATATAATTTTTGACCTAGGGGATTCTGGTGAACATCCTCGACCCCCTTTAAACCCGCCCTAGTAACTGGTATGTATAAAGTGTAAGCGCATTATCTGATTAGAATAATTATATATATTTGCAATTTTACAAGTTCAGTGGACATAATTGGAATTTGATAATATTTACTCCATCTGTCCGGCTGTCCCACTTTATAGGACTTATTTTCTTTTTTTATTAGTCCAAAAAAATGACACTTTAGTAAAAATTTATCTTCACAATGTTTATTTACTCTTATTGAAATGATTTCTAACTACATAAATATTTATGACTTATTTTAGACCATATATTTCAAAAGTGTTTTGTGAATTGACAGTCAGGATGTTGCAAACCACCAACAGCATGCAATTATGGATTGACAACAATGACACAAGAGGCAGATTGTTACCAATGGAACAATGATCCAAATTTGTTGTGCTATGAGTGTGATTCATGCAAAGCTGGAGTTCTTGAAGATGTGAGAAGGGATTGGCAAAAGATATCAGTTCTTAATATTGTCATGCTTGTCTTACTCATTGGAATTTATTCCATTGGTTGTTGTGCTTTTCAAAATACCAAGAGGGCTGTATCTGATTACCCACATGGTGAAAACCGTATGTATAAAGTCCGACCCAGATGGGATTTCTACTGGTATGTCTTGTCACCTACCTTCATTTACCAACATTGCAATTTACTGCAAAATAGTATTATGTTTTCGAACTTGAAAATACTCATCTCTGTCATCTTTTAAGAACTTGCAAAATGTCATTTCTGTTTGAAAAAATATTCATTCATGTAATTATTTGTTAACTGAAAAAAAATCGATTTTGCAAAATCATTTTTCACACGTGGTCAATTATGATTCGGTCACATCATTAATTAAATTAGTTTTTAAAAGGAAAAGACTCAAATATGTAGTATATAACTTTGAGACTAAGCTCATCTATGTCATCCAATTAAAAATTTGGCTCATCTTATGTCATTTCAGTTAACAAATAATGATATGGATTAACCTTTTCTCAAACGGAAATGATATAAATAAGCCAAACTTTTAATGAATGACATAAATAAGCCTTTTTTCCAAAGTTTGATAACGTATTTGAGTCTTTTCCCTTTTCTAAAAAATACTATTTCTGGTAAAACCACTGGAATTGTGATGATCTTGTAGAAACATAAAAATTTCTAAAACTGTTTTTAAATATAACAACAATATGAAGACCCCTCTAAGGGGATATTTATATTCAATGGTGACATTATATTGGTTTAACTTTATTGGTATTTTTGTTTTTGGTTGATAGGTGGAGATGGTGGCACGACAGGAGACATCAGCTTTATTAGACCAAAATATGGCACTTCGTTTGGTGCACATATCGTTTTCCAAAAGCAACATATCATCAAAAGTGATGCTAATTAAAGTGATGCTAATTAGTATTCTCTTTGTTTTCTTTCAATCCCAACAAATATTCCTAGCAGGGTTTTTTCCACAGCTTGCTTTGATCTCCTTTTCTGTACAAAGAAAAAGATTTTACTACTTTATTTCACATTCTACGCCTTCCTTTTCTACCTTTTTATGTTTACTCTAGCTTTTCATTTTTGCAAATAAAAATTAAAGTTTATTGGTACATACATGCAAATTTAAAATGGTTTTGGGAAATGTATGCCTCAATCTTCAAATACAAATCTCTTTAACTGATCGTTTGCTAGATGAGATAAAGGTGGATAATTTCAGATTTTATCATGGGATATTCCATCTTATCCCATTCAACTTATGAATATTTTATCTCAATCTTCTAGCTAGGTGTGATAAATTAATTTAGGAATTAGAATCTAATACTATAATCTCAAGATAATTTAATTAATCCGCCTACCAGACAAGCGCTAAGGTCACATGGTTGGAATCGTAGTAGAGTTTAATGCAATGGTCACAATTAATGATAGCAAATGGGCAAAGGATGAATTGGATTTGGACAGATTAAAATTGAATTGAGTTAATATTGGTGTTTATGCATTTTAATATTAAAATTAAAATACTAAGTACATATGTTAGTGGTATAAGTTGACAAGAAAGTGGTCATTATTTTGGTGTAACTCTTGTAGCCACTATTGCTATGATCTACCACTACGATTCACCCATTATTCTACCTCAGTATACATTATAACTTATGTAACCTTTAGACCACTTATTTACCTACATTATTATCCACATTATTCTTATTCAATACAAAGAAGAATTCCTCCCATATAAATAGTGGTGTTTCTTCCTTTGTGAAGTGTATGTCAAAAAAAGAGGAGAAGTGTGAAAAATATTATAGTGTATAGTGAGGTAAGTATAGTGAAAGAGAGAGTTGAGACAAAATGTGATACCTAGTCCAGTCCCCTTGGATTTCAAGATTTCCTTTAGAGCTTGAAAGGAACTTATGTGATACAAAGATTCTAAACTCCTGTTTGATATCACTACAAGAAAAGACATATTGCCACAAAACTGATTGTAGCTAAATATAAAAAATTTCGTGGCTAAACACTTTAGCTACAATATTTATTTCTGTAGCATTCGTAGCAAGATGTAGCGTGGCTAAAAGTTAGCTACAAACTTTACATGCCCTCCATTTTCTCATCTACAAAATAATTAAGATAGAAAATTACGTATTAAGCAAAGAAGAGAAAGAGAAAAAGAAAATGATATGAATGACGAAAGGTATATAATATACATACCTTTAGTCTGCCCAAAGCAAAAGTTGCTATACAGTACAATACATGAGCAACTGCCAACACAAAGATGAAGATATGGAGCTGGTGTATTGCATATGAAGATGCAAATTGGACTTTTCCCTGCATTAATTTTTAACAACGTAACCCCATAAATTAAAATGAATAATGTAGAGAAAAGCGGTTCATCGAAACCGTTTGAACCCCTACTTAGGTACCTTTTTGTCGCATGAAGTAACCTCATACTCAGACTGGGCGTCTGCCTTTGGCTTACAAGGATGCCATGAATAACCAATACTCTTGGGGACGCATAAGTTAGAAACTGGTTCTTGCAACACTGTCAACAACAGTGATAAGAATCCCAACAGCATAAGTTCTGTTACACACACCAAATATGTCACTATATATATTAATTATTTGATGCATATATATATATATATATATATATATGTATTTTGAATTTACCAGCTTTGATCTTTTCAAGTGCTTCATATAGAGGCTTTTTCCGCTTTTCCAGTAACCACTGCAAATGAAAATCATTCAGATCGATCTAGTAAAAGAAAACAAACAAGTTATATAGTAATAAGAACTTACGTACGTACCTCTCCAATATGATGAATAATTTGTTCAATAAAAATGGAAATAGCGAGCAAGATGAAGCAAACCACAGCAATCGCCCAAGTAGGGGTTGCCTCCATCGACCGTTCTTTAGCCATCAATTCGATACACAAATCAATTAACTCTATAGTACTGTTAAAAGGATATATTTTCTTCCTTTTAAAGAAATTGGAGCATATATATATATATATAATAGGAGTAAGAAGAAGAAGGGGAAATGTCAAATGAAAACTTGTCCAAAGTTTCAAACATTAATTCAAGGACAGCGTAATATTTGCTGCATAGTCTAGTCGCAATAATAATGCAGAAAGAGTCGTATATAAAAAGGTTAAGTATTAAAGTATTTGCATTAAATATTTGTAGGGTATCTCGTTTGACAATTCAACATTTTTTCCTATACGTCCACCTTCAATATAATTCTTTGCATCCCATTTTTTGAGATTATAGAGGGGTAAATATCTTGTGACCTGCTTGAGACTTTCATAATGGAGACCTCATGTTTGAAATTTATTATCAAACAAAAGTAAAGAATTTGTATTCTGGGTGGAATTCATCCCATCGAACTTACCTAGTACGCATTACTTGTTTTGTATGATTTATGACCTATTGCATAGGAGGGGTCTGCTCCTTGTTCACATAACAATTTCTCCATTGAAAAGGGTCAAAACTATCCTTAAACAATTCGAAATAGCTTAAATATACCCTTAAATTATATTTTGGCTCAAAAATATCCTCCCAGTCTAACTATTAGACCACACTTGCCCTTCTGTTTAACAAAAAACAATCCATGTGTGTGCTAAAATGTCACATGGACTCCACATGTGCACGCCAAACACACCCCCACCTCCACATAGACGATTTAAAGCCCCTAATTTCACTCTTTTTCCCTTCATTTTCATCCTTTCCTTATTTGGGTATATCTATATGAATATACAATATACATTGACTCAATTCAGTTCCATTTTATCCCGATACTAATATGTTGCACTTTGAAGATCACAACTTAAACAAAATTTAAATTAATTCTGCTATCTAATCCTTAAATCATCTATATATTGAATGTTTCTTTAACTTTTCACAAAATCTAAAACTTCCTTAACAATCATTTAGAGCATCTTCTAGATTAGGGACCACAAAAGCTCAAAATTTGAACAAAAATAGGGTAATCTGTACAAAAAAAATTAAATTAAGAAATCTATAAAGACTTACTTGGTCTTCGTTGATGTAGTAGCAATCAAAGGTGTCATCCCAACCGTTCGTCAAGTTTTCCTCATTAGCGAAATTGCCGACGTTGATGTGGCGGAGCTCGGTCACCACCTCCAGGGAAGCCATTGTAGGCGTCTTCCTTCTGCCTGGAGTTCCGGTGATAAGTATATTATGTCTCTTACGACAACTGCTATTTTGTGCCATGGCCGTGAGTTGAATCAACAAGAAAGCTTCGCTAAGATTTGTTTAAACAAAATTAATTTATTAAGAGAAATTAAAATAATAATTTAGTGTTAATTGATTAATTAAAATGAGTGTGTTTATATTATACCTTAGATCGTTTCTTTTATTGTGTTTGAAATGGTCATCAAATTGCAATTTTTCTACTTCATTCGGTTACGTATACAAGTTTCCGCAAATATTTTTTCTTTTTTTGGTTCAATATATACTTTACAGGATGAAATGAGGGGAAAAAAGAGTGAAATTAAGGCTCTAAGTCATCTATGTGGAGGTGGTCGGGGTGTGTTTGGCGTGCACATGTGGAGTCCATGTGGCATTTTAGCACACATGTGGATGCTTCCGTTAAACAGAAGGGCAAGTGTGGTCTAATAGTTAGACGGGAAGGGCATTTGAGCCGAAATATAGTTTAAGGGTATATTTAAGCTATTTTGAATAGTTTAAGGATAGTTTTGATCCTTTTTCGTAGTCGTCCATGTGGAGGTGGGGTCTGTTTGACATGCATATGTGGCATCCATGTGGCATTTAACACACACATGGATACTTCCATTAACTAGACGGGTAGGTGTGACCCAATAGTCTGATGAAAAGGGTATTTTTGAGCCGAAATATAGTTTAAGGGTATATTTAAGCTATTTCGGATAGTTTAAGGATAGTTTTGACCCCTTTTCCGTTTTTTTATTATTGTAGACTAGGTTAAGATTGGAATCAATCAAATTTTTGGGTTATTTAATAAGTTTGGAATAAATCAATTGGTCACAATATGTAGCAAAAATTATTTTGGTTTGATATGGATACAGATGAATAAAGAGAAAGAGTATGCATAGCAGTGATAGCACCAATGATTGGATGTATATTTTTGAATATACAACTATACACGCCTCAAGTTTATACACAATTCCCTTGATCTGACGTTTTCATATTCTTTTAAAAGCGGTCTTTCTCTTTTTTTTTTCCTCAACTTTTTGAAGAAGACTGCACTAAATTGTGGGCGGAATGGTTCGCAAGAAGAAAAATAGTAAGAGAATAAATGTTTGTTTGGAAAGAAATGGTAATGGCAAAGGTCTAAATGCTGTGTGTAAAAATCAACGGAAAATGGTCAAATATACCCCTTTACTATAAGAAATAGTTTATATATACCCTTCGTTATACTTTTGGACCAAATATATCCCTCTCGTTATACTTTGGGCCAAATATACCCTTAATCCATTAAATATGTGGGTCCAAACCTTAGAAGAAACATGTGAAAGGTTGGGATTAATTTTAAAAATCCAAATCATTTTTATCTGGTTAATTCCCAAAATATGTAATTATGTGAAGGATTGAGATTAATTAGAAGGACCCAAATAATTTTTGTCCCTGCCAACAACAAAAATAACCCATAGCCCAACCCCAACTTCAAATCTCAACAATGGAGTAATGTAAAAGTTTTTTCTTCAAATCAGTTTTGATCACTTCAATAACAATAATTTTCAATACTCGATTGACTTACAACAACTTTCAATCACAAACTTTAAAAGTTCATCGGCCATAAATTCGAAAGACAAAAATCCAACAACTTTATTTTCAACTTCTCCACCTAATGTGCCTTCTAATTTTAACACATCAATCCAAATCAATGGAGTTTCAAGCACCACCTTAATTGACACGTAGTTTAAAAAAGAAAGACTAGTCAGTCTCAACCCAACGAAAATGAAAGAAATAAAGCAAAAACAAGACAAAGGCGGAAAACTTATTCATTCTAAACTTGATTGTCACGTGTACAAGTTATTAGATACATAAAGTGCGGAATTTAGAAATAAGTACAAGTCACAATCTTTATTTGTAAGAACAAAGTATAAAGAAAAGGTAAAAGAGAGCCTGCCAAAGTGACAAACAACTACCTCTTCAATTCCTCGACAAGCCTTGAAATAAGAATAAGGAAAAATAGGTCACGCGGGTCCGGACTCGAAACCTACACAAGTGTAGAAGCAAGGGGTGAGTACCAACAACACGGTACCCAACAAGAAACCTAATAAACAAGGTATCTAGCTAGAAATCGAATACCCTTTACACTCCAATCGAACCTCCTGAAACTACAACATGCACATAAATCAGCTCAACCTAGCAATTCTATAATACACGACTTACAAGGCCCAATATTCACAACTCAATAGTCACAATCAATGATCAAACAAATCAAGTAAGTCAATCTCAAAGTCAAGTAGCTCAGTCACTCACAACAAGTATATAAATCACAATTAGCAATCAAGTCACGCATAAACATCAAATGCATCAAGTCACACTAATCAATCTCTTGTCGGAACCACTTCTCATCGGCACAATATCACCAGCCTGAACCATTTCCCATTGGCTTTATATCAATTCATCAGCCGGAACCATTTCTCATCAGCTTTATACCACTTGCCGGAAATGACCTCGATATCACAACACTCACCGATAAAGACCTCGACTTCATAGCACTCACCGGTAAAGACCGCATCACAACACTTGCCGGCAAAGACCTCGGCAACATAACACTTGCCGACAAAGACCTCGGCTTCATAATTCATCACATGTCTCATAACAGTGTTCAAAGTCAAAGCATATAAGCAATATCACATCACACAGAAAAGACAACAATTCACACAATTCAAGTCCATATTCATGCTTTACAAGCATTTCATCAATCAATCAACAAGTGTCACAATAAAACAATTCACATCATCATGTTCAACACATAGCCTTTTTTCATTTCAACCCCTTTTTATTCATTTAGATGTATTAAGTGGACAATTTAACCCTTCACCTCATCCCATTTCTCCCGACACACAAGCAACACAGGAAGTACAAGAATTCTACTAGAAAATGAGCTTTAGGAAGTCACTTGCCTTAAATCAATCAACAATCACTCCACGAATTGAGTCTTTCCCTTCTGAATTACTTCCAAAGCCATAAAATATATAATAATCAAGTATTTACAATCACTCATCGAAAACAACAATTCCCACATCAATTATATAGAGAAATATGTCAATCAACTCAAAATCCAATTTCAAAATGTTGGTTTGAATCCAGAAAACAATACTTAAAAATAGTGTTTAAGGCTTTAGGAACTCATTAGAGAAAACCATTTCGAAAAACGAATCAAAATCACTTCATAATCACCATTTTATTAATTTCCCGGTTCTTGAAGATAACCCCAAATTTCTCATTTCGAAATCTTGATTTGAACACATTAATCCATAAATAATAACGGGCAATTGAAGATTTAGAGATAAGAATCGTTATCCAAAATATTTTCCTCGAAAATATGATCCAAATAAACACCCAAAGCTCCCAAAACTAAAAAATGGAAAAATTGGGCCAAAAACCCTCTCTGATGTCGCAAAAGCGACCAGGGGTTTGCTTGATTCCTAAAAATGCAGGCGTCGCAAAAGCAAAGCCTCCTTCGCAAAAGCAAAGGTTGCTTAAGTGACAGATCCTTCGCAAAAGTGAGGCCTGCAGCACCAGAAAGCACAACCAAAATTTAAAACATCGAAAGGAACCTCGAGATTTGTTCGGAATCACGTACACACAAACCACATATGCAAATCAATTATACTCGACGTTCCGGACTCAATGGAACTGTCAAAACACCAATATGAGGTCTCCTTGACCCGACATCCATGAAAACCATAAGAAACTAACTCACGCCTACAAAAGCTAAAACAAGCTTGAAACTTTTCAAAAATCAACCAAAACCTCACCTAAGCCTAAAATCAACCCCCGAATCCAACAAAACTCTCGGAATTTCGATCCAAGCATCTGAACTCCGAATGTTGACCAAAGTCAACCCAAAAGCTAAAATTTCATAATTTCACAACTTGAAATCCTCAAAAGACTCG